CCGCGGGAGCGGCGGCACCGAGGGGCGCGGGGATAGCGGGAGGGGGAGCGGGGCACTCTTGCGCGCCGCCGCGGCTGCGTGTAGGGGTGCGGCGAGGCCTCGATGTCTGCCTGTGAGGGCGTAATGGTGTCCCCCCCACACCCCGCCATGGTGGGTGGGTGGAGGGAGGCAAGGCCGGGCTGCGCTGGGCCCCGCGGCTCCTGCTCGCCGCCTGGACGGGGCTCCGGCCCTCTCCGTGCGGGGGATGCTCCTGGCCCCACGGCCTGGCCCGGGCGATGCTCGGCTGGCAGATTTTGACTACACTTGTGCTGATTCTTCCCCAGCAGCGCCTGTGGGAGAGTATTTAGTACAGCAGCTGGTATAGCTCAGCCTGAGCGTTGCCATCAGTACAGTATTGGGGCTTGCCTTTGAACACCCTGCAGGCAGTGAGGCTTAGCGGGCTGAGCCAGCGTTACCCATCACACTTGACCGAGTACCCACGCAGAAGGAGGTCAGTGGAACGAGTCGTACCCACGAGGTGTCGTTGCTGCCCTGGTGAGGAGCACGCTAACCACAAAGCGAAGAACGGGCTTGAGTTTTTGGGATGGCCCTGCGTGGTCCAGGTTTGGCTGCTCTGGAAGCTGAGCTAGTGATGATAAAGTTATCCCTGTCTGAAATCAGTCTTTCCTCTGTGGAAGCACGACTCTGAGGCTCAGCATTAAAGACACACAGGTAAAAGAATGGTTGCTACATGAACTAACTCCCTGTCCCCTTCCTCTGTTTCAGAGCACAGCATGGTGTCAAGCAAGAGTAAAAACACTCACCTGCCTTGGGAAGCGGATTCCTGTACTGGACTGACAGTAAACCTCCACCAGCTGCACGATGGTGAGAAACATCAGCATCTGTCTTGTCATGGTCTAGTTTTCTCCTGTGACTAGGCTATGGAAGTACGACTCATTCTGCTGTGCCAGATGATACCCTTCTGTGTCCCTGGGACTACTGGGAGGAGATACAAAAGCCCAGTGGCTTGATTAATATAATTAAGCCAATCAAGGCTGTAGCTTTGTTGCAGCTGCCACCTGAGTGTGTAGCCCTTTGCTGCCATGGAGCACAAGTTGAAAGGCAGCACAGAATGAATGGGAATTTTACTGTTGTTGGCGCCCAGTAGAGCACCTGCTTGTCAGCGTGGTCAAAGATGAGCAAGAGTAGAAGGGATTAGAAGTAGGAGGGATTGGATGACGGCCTGTTAGGGAGACACTTGACACAGCTCATCTCATAACTGTGTTTGTCACAGAAATAGACGTAGTGAAAGAATAATTGGTCTGCGTGCCTACCTGGAAGTGCACTGGGACGGTTTCAAACTTGCATCAGGTTGCTGGGGGTGGGGAGGTGCAGTTCACGTGCACCAAAGGGTCATCCTAGAAAGGACACACCCTGAAGAATCCTTTCCTGGAAGGGATGTGTCTGTCTTATGTCTGCTTAAATGCATTTCTCAAGATAAATCCATAGACAATTTACATGCCAGATGAGTGGATTATTCTTGTGTGGAAGGAGGGAGTTGTATTAAGATGCTTCTGTATGATGGTGAGGAGGATGTCTGCTTGAAACAGCTACAAAGGGTCTAAACCACCAAAGTCTCAGAGCTGGCTTGTTTTTTGCTAAGCTATTTAAATCTAAGGATTTAAATAGCATCCACTTCCCAAAGTTTCTTGTCCCTGAGCGAGACGACTCACTGGCAAACATGCTCCTTTATCTCTTTCTTCTGTGCTAAGTTTGTGAGACAAAAATTGCTTCTCTCCAAATGGAAAACTTCCTCTCTTTAATTCTTGCTCTGTGACCCAGTGCTGTTTTTTGTCAGAAGGGGTGCAGAAGAAATGAGCGGACAGACTATTTGAAGTATGGTTGCTAACGGTGTTCAATGCAACTTGTATTTAGGAGGAAATCATCCTGCAGCATCCTGGGGTTGTACGCAGCTTTGGCAAGAGGGCAGCTGCTAAGTTGGCCTTCAAGCTGGTAAGAGAATGCTTCAGTATTGCACGCTGAAGCAATACGTTTTCAATTTATTAATTATATGTCAGATCTGTAGGCAGCATGACTCATCTGCTGAGCAGAATACCTAGTCTTTGAACGCTTACCAGGAAAAATACTAGTCATCAGGAAGAACACTGGTCATCGACATGTTGGCATCTGGGTGTCTTTGCTGTATTTTGTAGAACTTGAGGAGTTTATATAGCCAAGGGCAGGAGAGAAACTAAGCCTGTGATGTGCTGTTATCCCTGTCTGACAACTCAGCTGTGAGGGAGAAACAGCTGTCCACTGAGGCTTACGTATTTCCCCTGAGCGGGTCTCCTAGCCCTTGCACAGACTCGGATGACACGAGTGGCACCGGCAAGGCAAAAGCAGCGCCTGTCCCCTTTCCTCCCGCCCTTGTGATGTGCAGCTGCAGCACAAGCGCTGTCTCATACGCACAGGCTGTTCAGCAGCTCAGACACGGCAAGTCCTCTCCGGAGCCCAGATACGGCAAGGCTCAGTACAGGGACTATAAGCACTGCCCTCTGTTGTCATAGCACAGTTTAGATCTGTGAAGAGCTTTTAAGTCGCTTACCCAAACAGTGAGGCACGGTGGCAGATTAAAGGGCAGATAGGAAATGCGTATTTATCTCACGTGATGTACAGTCACTGAATACACACGCTGTAACAGCACTTTGGCTCCAGGTAGCTGACAGCTGCATTCTGCTAAATAATTTCACGCTTTATTTAACAGAATTTGTATTTGTTTGCAGAAGATCGATAACATTCACTGACAGGCTGAACTGTCAAACTGGACGACAGTGCACTTCCTTAAGTAATCAAGGTTGGTATGCAAAAGGGGAGGGAACGGTGCTATAAACCAGCAGTCACATTGGTTGCTCTGTCAATACAGCTGTGTTCCAAGTAGGACCAGTCACTGGGAAAAGCATGTGGGGCTTTTGGCTTCCAAGGAGTAAGGGGAAAAAGTGAAGAGGCAGCCTGATGGTAAATAGAAAAAGCAAAAGCTACTCCGTGCTTTGAGAATAGAGAGGGGCAGGAATTGTTTCAGAACAAACTTGTTTAGGAAAGCTGTTACAGCATTGCTTTGTGGCATCTCCCAACTCTAGAAGCAGCAGAAGGAAGATTGTTCTGGAGTGGGTCTCGCAAATGGCCACTCATACGTCATTCAGAACGGTGTAAAATGGCCACCTGTGTGTAACTGCAGGCTCCTCCTTGCTGCTCAGTGGTTGCTGCAACCGCATCATGGGTAAGTTCCCAGTAAAGCCAAAGAATATTTGGGTACCAGTGCCATTGGCTTGGGGGGGAGCAAGTTTTTGTCTCCTGACACCTGCCTGTGCTCTCGATTAAATAGTGCAAATCAGGAACTTCTCAGCTGACAGTTGCTTTGCTCTGACACTGTCTTTTTTCCACTAGGACCTGATCTACAGCTGGCTGGAGGAAAAAGTAGTTCCCTGCTGTTTTCTGTTCCAGAATGAAAGAAGTTACGGAAAATCTTGGGAGTTTAAGTTGGTTTTGAGCGTGTTTAATTCCAGGGCTAGGCTACACCCTTGGCTAGAAAACCTTCCTTTTTGAAATGGGAAAGGAAGGTGTGTGTAGTAGTTCCTGATGTGTGCCAACAGCTCTGCCCATGAGCTGTATGAGATTCCTGGCGGGATGCTGCACCATGACAGCACTCATTTTTAAAACCTTTTCTTTTTGCCCTGTGCGTCAAGGTGCTGCTGATTGCCATGTTCAAAGTCACCTGCATGGGTTGTGCTGAGGCTTGGCTAGAGCTGGTTCGAGGAGGTTTTGGTGCTGTCTTGGTCAGTTGATGTGAGGATCAGGCTCGTTCTTGTCATGAAAGAGGTTTTGCTTAGTGCTTGTGAATAAAAAACAGGCCTAACAGGCTGCCTTGGTACCATTGTAAGGTGGCTCTGATGCGAACAAAGGTTAATTTGAGATCTGGGAACACAAGATGGGCTCCAAGCTAGAGATTACATCTGAAACAGGCTTATAGACTAATCTTCCGTAATGCTCATTTGAACTGGCTGAAAGCAGCCTGCCATGAGCTTGCGGGGGGGGGGGGGGGGGGGGGGGGTCC